CATTTCAGAAATTTTTATAGTCATATACTACTCGATATACTCCGCAGAAACTTCGTACTTTAGCTGTGAAAACTATGCCAGCAATAATTAGCTGATTATCGTGCTGAGCATGAAAAATTTATATATGGTAGATGTTAGGTGATGACAAGTTCATTCTGAGTTCCCAGAGTTAATCATAATCTGTAAAATAACTGCTAAGCAGTGTTCCATGATTCAATCAACGCATACGCTATATAATGCAGACCAGCCATTATGCAGATGAGCTACTGCAAGCAAACATATTGCCGTAGACGTGGCATCGAGAGACGAACGAGAAGCCCGAAATGGACGAACAGTGACGGCGACACAAACCGCTGCTCCCCCAATTTTCAAAAACAACCCAGAGAAAAGGGATTTTTTGTGCACACCTAGCAACGAAGAATGGGAGACATTCAACGTTTCTCTTATTAAAGAGCCTATAGGTCTTGAATGCGGTGAATAGCTATTCAACAAAACAAACTTAATATCAACCTACCAATGGCACTTTTACAGCATGAAACAATGCACTTGGCCTATGTAAATATCCACGATGGTCATTTTTCACGATTTTTAATGATTGCTGTGTTTCTGCAATGAGATCCATGTGATCTTTCCCCATCTTATCCTCCACATGCAAATGTGTCGTTTGATCATGGTCCTTTCTCGCAATACGTTTGGCTGCACGCCAAATCTGCACATATAATATCAGCATAATCAGCGTTGGACCATAAAACGAGATGATTGTTGCGTAGATCTGATAGGCATAATGCTGGATAACCTGCAAAAACTGTAGTTATTTAACGGAAAACAACTCCTCAAAAGGGTAATTTATTTGCCAGTAAGGTAACCTATTTGCTATTTACACAATACTTGGAACGCTTTGCAGGATCTTCCTTCCACTAATGTACATTATCAATCCCAGAGGATATAGCTATAAAATACGTGACCCGCTACAGCAAGCCAAAAATTTAGAAATTTTCAATACAAGAAAGGGAAACTACAACATGTTGCCACGAAATCAAGCCGCATCACTAAGCCAAATATTTGGGTTCTAAATCTTTGATAATTGCTGCTACACAAAAGTGAAAGACTTGAAAAACAAGCTATGTAAGTTCTAGGGCTATTCAAGAATACACGCATTAAGCACAAGTTCAGTTTAAAAGGTATCAAATCTCGGAAGTAGCTATAAATATTTGCTAATTGTCATTTCGTTAAAAACTACTTATTGAATTATTCTCGCAAGTCACTTATCGTTTCCTTTATATTTTAGTTAAGCTGCAATTTGCACAAATCTTCATAAGCTTATTGTTTGGAGTATTTGAGCCTTGCGTATTGATGAGAGGGATTTTCAGGCTCTTGATTTAGCACTCATTCAGTAGGAAACTCTTCATATACTGAACACCCACTTGAGTCACTCTTTGGCTATTTCGCTCCCCCTATTGAGATAACGAAAAAGCAGAGCCTAACGTTTTCAGTCGTTCTAGTCAGAGGAAGAAAAATGGCTTGTCCGGAAAAGCTAAATGGTTTCCTTTAACTCTGAGCGATGGTTTACGACTGAATGAATAAGGTAAATGGATTTGAAAGAATAACGTTCTAAAAGGATTCCAACAAAATAATGCGTCCATCTAATGGACTAAACATAAATTCACCAACATCAAAAACCAACCTTTCTCGAAATGCACTCACGGATGTTTACTGCCGGATTGAACTTAGGTATAAGTGTAAGGTAGAGACTAGTTCACATTTTTGAGTGTTATTCAACCAGAAGAGCAGAAATTAGATTTACTTAGTGCTAGTGCGAATGGTGAGGCAGGAAGGAAAAGGAAAAGGAGCACAAGTAGATGAAAGAATAGCATACGATATTTGCTAAAAATATAGATATTCAGATACTTCTTTATGAGCGATGCTCAAAATGCAGAAATAAATCTTGATGGTAAAGAACTGACTGCATGCTATTCCCTCTAATAAAGAGAAATTCGCAGATGTCTGGGACAATGTTTATCTATTCTAGAATAAGTGAGATGCAATATCATAAAATAAAAAAAACGATTCTCCATTCTAGCGCGACCCTACTGTGATTGGTGGAAGTGTCACAAAGCAAAAACGACGATTTTCGCTCTTGGATTATTATATTATCATTATTGTACATACAATGACGTTATAGAAATTTTCAAGGAGAATATTTGTGAATGGCAAATGTGGGCATCTGCTGAATACGAAATGATCAGATGAGTTGATACACGTGAGTCGATGTCTTCCGATCATAATCGATCGTCTCATTGCTTCCTACGGTTTCCAGTTGATGAATATGCGAGAATGCATAATACAAGAGAAAAAAGACAAAGTACATCACAAAATAGCAGTCCCCTCGCTATGTAACTATTTATTGTGTTTCTCACGCCCTTCAATGCTTACTAAAAAATAGACTCTTTGCCTCTTCATGTGTAAATCCGCCACAAAGCCGAAAATTCGTACACGTATTGTAGCAAACGTGAAAACAAACAAAAAAAAGTTTTGAAGGTGAATGAGTAATTTAGGGAGGAAATTCATGCATCGTTGAGGGAATAAAACTCTCAAATTATATAAGAATCATCGTTTCAGCAATAGAATTTTAGAGCAAAACAAATTGCTAAAGGAGTAAGATCATTTCCGATGTACTTTCCATTTTCCATATTTCATACGCTTGCAACATAATTTAGGTGCTTGCGTACTTTTCTCATAAACGTCTTGCTCATCTTTTCAAAAATAGAAAAACACACACCTGACAGACTCTGCCATCTGTCTCCTGAGAATCAAGTAGATTTGCGATGATATGGGAGGACAAGCTAACGACGGCTGCGATTACCCATACTACTGCTATATACACAAGCATTCTGGTCGTCGTTCTCTTCGCTGAGTACCTCAGAGGTCTTGTGATAACCAGGTACCGGTCTACGGATATCGCACAGAGGCTCACTATGGAAGCTGTGCAAAGCGTCAGATCAGCAGTCGTCCATAACTTGCACATCGACCTGAATTTTGCTTCCTAAAAATGGTGCAAATGCAGAGATAATGAAATATCATGGGTGACCGTGTAGCATATTTCATACAAAATTTTCCTCTTTCTCAAGCGAACTCAAAACACGCGCACTTCTTTCGAGGACATACCCGCAGTAACTTAGTTTTCGCTTAACTGTTTGACAAAAACGCTGAGCTCGCAAGAGCAACCAAAATAGCAGCTTGAAAAGGTTTGCAATGAGCAAGACTTCGTTCTCCAGTGAAATTAATGTGTGGTTCATTGAACTAAGTTAATCAGGCAATCACAATGATTTATAGTAATTGCGTCGTAAAATCGCATTATAATCTATGGAGTGCGGTATGCATTGCGAGTAGATAGGCTCAAGTGAAACAAGGGCAACAAACATACCTGCCCAATGGCCATACTGGAAAGAGAAGATCAACGAGGGCAAGTGGCATTACCAGCATACCAACGAAAAAGTCGGCGATGGCCAGGGAAATGATAAGAAAGTTGGCTGGTTGTTGAAGTTTCCTCACTAGTATAACAGCAAGACAAACGAGTGCGTTGCCTACCACAGTAACAATGATCATCACTAGCACAAAAATGGCCAACAGCGCCTTCAGCAAAACAGATGACGAATATGAGGAGATATGCGGTGCTGATGAGTGCAGGTCTTTAACATCGTGAGGCCAAGGATCATGTGTCAACGGTAAGATCGTGTAGGGGAGTGGTGGCAACGCACGCTCCATCACCACTACTGCTCTAGAAAGGGGCGGGTCCTACGGTATCGTTGCGGCAGGCCTCGAAATAGCTCCATGCCCCCGCCCCTCCTACTGAAGACTGTGTTGACGACTTCAAAATATGATGGTAGCACTTGGATGCTGCATGTGCGATGTACCAATCACTTGCAACCACCAGGTGACAGCCATGCCAAAATGTGAGTTTTTGCAATCATTGGGTTTTCTTGGAAAAACATTCGCCGATTGTCAACGAATGAAAGACATAAGGCACTCACAGCAAGAAAAGATTCTCAATTCAACTTGATATAAGCTGCTGAATCTAATAAAAAATTGGATTTTCCACCACCTCATTTTCAACCTTCTACTTGACTCATTTATTATGGACGTATTCCAGTCTCTTACTTAAAGGTCGTACAGAAACACTTTACTACATAC